AGCAGAACCCAAACTGACTGTGAAGGGCACAAAATGGGTTGTGGTTGTTGGCAATAAAATGTCCAGGACTGTGATTTTTCCAAGGGGAGTACTGTGGAGTTCCTGCCCCAGTCACAGCCTGTTCTATAAAGAAGAGTGGGAGCAGAACTGGAGAGAAAAGTGGGCTGGGAAAGCTGCAGAGGGGTTTCTTGTTGGTTTGGTCAGGTGTTCTGGGGAGAGTGGAAGCGTCAGAGTATATCCCAAAGATCCCTGTTGGTGTCCCAGTGACAGCACTGGTCGAGGCTCTGAGCCAAAAAAGGGTCAGGGCAACAGAGGAAAAAGGCCTGGAGAGGGGAATGATTCCCAAAGGCTTCCCAGAGAGCCAGGGCAGGGCTGAGATAACACTCTGCCTTCCTGCCTCCCAGGTCAGTGCCCCATCCATCCCAACCTGCCTCCCCAAGATCAACACAGACCCTGCTCCTTCCTGAACTTCACATTTGACTCATTTTCTTGCAAGCCCGATGTTATCTCCCTGCCCTGGGAGCTGCTGGCAGCAGAAGTGCTGACTTGTAGCACTGCAGTGCCAAAGCCAGCTCTGTTCACTGCTCCTCGGTGCAAACCTCAGGCCGTGTGTGGGGCTGCTCCTCCTCCAGTTTTGGGGCTTTGCATCAGAGCTCCTGGCTCTCCTGTGCTGGGAGCACTCTTTGCAAAAATATTTCGGGAGGGATTTTCTCCCAGGATTAGGAGTGGTGAGATTATATTATGGAGGGGGGTGAGGGAAAGGGGAAAGAAGAAAGTCACCCCTCTAGAGGTGGAAGGATCTTTCCATGGCAGGGTGGTTCAGGTACTCAGCGTTTTTGTCTCTTCTAAGGCAGAGTGTGTGGAGGAGGATGAAGCTTTGATCTTTAGCAATGCCTTTTAAATGTGGTTATGGTCAGAAAAGTGAAGGTAACGAGCTCAGAGCTGATATTCAGTGAACACACATTGCAGGTACCTGGAAGGGACTGTTGTTGAGGGCAGTGGGTGATACCTGGGGTGAAAGCAGGTATTGTTCTCCTGGCCTTTCTCCTTTCTCAAATCTCCTCCTCCTAAGAGGAGTCTTTTTAAAAGCATTCAGGCGGCCTCCCTTTCCTGGTAAGGAACCAGGATAACTTGCTGGGAGCACTGGTGGACTGCCAGTCCTCCCCAGTGCGTGACCAGAAGATCAAGCTGGTTGTTCCCTGCCCACAGGACCAAAACCAAATGGTACCTCACCTTATGTGACACTTAAACCTGGGACCTGGGTCTGGATGGCTCAGCTAAAGAAAGGAAAAAGTGCAAATTTGCCCTTTTTGTAACTCTAAACTGTATAAATAACAGCCCAGACTCGTGTCTGAGGGATTCAGGAGTGTGTCAGCCCCTTGCAGGGCTGTTTCATTTGCACAGTTCAGTGGTGGGGCTGCCCTGGAGAGGCTGGGGCTGGACGTGCCTTCGGCTGTGCGAGCTGCCAGAGCCAAGACTTGCCACACTTATGCCAGGAATGTGATTAAAAACTGGAAAAACTGAAGCTGGCCTATTCCCAGAGGCCATATAATGTAACATGTATGCCAGAGGAACACACACCAGCTCCTGTCTCAGGCTCAGGCTGGGCAACCCAAGGCCAGGGCACGAGGGGCGGTGATGGGGGGGGACCCTGGCGAGCTGGGGCTGGCTGGGCAGGTTGTGTTGGCACCCACCCAGCTCAGTGTGTTTGCCCAGTTGCCCATCACCAAGCAGCAGCTCTCGATTCCAGGGCACAGGCGTTTGCCCCCTGGTATTGGATTCAGCTGCCGCTCTCTGCCTCGGCCAAACACACCCTGAACAGACCAGCCCTTCAGGACTGCAGCTGGCCGAGCAGAGCCCCTCACAGGGAGCACAGGGGAGGTTCTACATGTTCTACATGTTTCTCCAAGGGGTTCAGCTGAGTCCCTGAGTCCCTGGGTTGCTGTCACTGCTGGGACAGCAGTGGGTGCTCCCCTGCCAGCAGAGATACCTCATCATCCTGTGGGCTTTGTTGAGCTGTGGCTGTGAGACACCACAGCCAAGCTGATGGCAGCAGGGCTGGCTCTGTGCCACCTGACTTCCCTTGCATGTCACCAGCCCCAGGGGCTGCTGTTTGCAGGAGTTGAGCAGGTGCTGCCTCCTCTGCTCGGGCACCTCAGCTCCCCCCAGCCCTCTGGCTTTTCGGAGCTTTTGTGGCTCTCACCAACTTTTTGTGGCTCTCACCGAACCATTCCTGGCACGGGAGGTGCCCTGGTGGCATCCAGAGGGCCTGAAGTTCTTCTCCCCTGTGGGCCACAGGGTTTTCAAGGCAGCAAAAATGCAGCGATAGGCAGGGCTGGGCTCCAGCGCTGCTGGGTTCCAGTACCTCCTGCCTGTGAGGTCACCACTGCCCCAGTTAACACCAGTGGCATGTAGGCAGGGCTCAGCAGCCACTCTGTCTTTCAAGGAAGATCCTTATCTGAGGAAGTGGGTTCTCCATCAGCTATTCTGTGTGTCACACAGCAGTGTGCTCTTGCCTGGGTGTGCAAAGTCAGCTGGACTCGGGTGTAACCCCAGTCAGGGATCCTTGTCCAGGGCCATCCTTTGGGGTGTTGTTGGGTCTAAGTTATTTTCAGATAGCCAGAAAGATCCCTGCTTTCCAAATTTTCTCCGTCTTCTTTGGAAGAAAAATGGCTTTAGGCAGAAAAAGCAGCCTAGAGTTAAGTGATCCTGACTCTGCTTGAATTCAGAAGAAACTCCAAATATCTGCACAAGTCCTTCAGTATTTGTTGTAAAAAAATCTTGTGAGCAATGTCTTACACTGATTTGGTGGGATAACTATCATAGTTATTTTCTCAGATATTGTTTCCCTTAAAAAAAAAAATCCCAATTTTATGTATGTTTTTAGACTGGAAATCTCCAAACCCAAACCTTGGAAATTTTTCTTTGACCAATCTGCTGTGGTGCTCGTGGTTTCCTTGTCCCTGCCCAGCAGAGGGTGGGTCTAGAGAGTCCTAAGTCAGTCCAGCAGCCCAGGAATGTGGGGTTCACCTGCCACCTCAGGCCAGAACGTGGGCAACCCCACGTTTTTTGTGCTGGGAGGAAATGGAGGCCCACAGAAAATGTGTCATTTAGGAAGCCTGTCTGACATCCTGAGTTCAGCGAATCAGACAAGCAGCAAGTCACTCCATCTGACCTCTGAAGGGAAGGCTTTGCTCTCTTTCAAAGAGCTGAACCATCTCGTGCTCTTGTGCCTTCCTACACAGATGAAGTTCACAGTCCCAGCCCTCTCAGGGACACAATTCCCACCAATTCTTCCCAGGGGTACCTTCCACTCCCTCTCTTACTCTAATTAAAGCTAAAAAAGGGAAGGGGTGTTTTTGAAAGGCTGTGGATCCAGCAAGGAAAAGTTGCTGGAAAGGTTGAACAGTGTGAGCTCCTTCCAGGAGGCAGAGTTAGCAATGTGGGGTAAAAACTCTCTTTTTTGTTGTTTAATGGAGCCAGTGGGAGAGGCTGACCACAAGATTTTTGCAGCAAACTCTGGAACTTCAGCAGGACCTGTGCAGATGTTTGAGGGTTCCTCCTTAGTGAGGCCCACTTAAATTCTAGGCCACTTCAGCTTATTTGGGTTTGTTACGTTATCTGAGATCAGAGATAAGAAACTGCTGAATTCTGTAAATGCAGGGCACTGACCTGACTCTCTAAGTGGGTTATTAACTTAAGGCTGAGGGGCATTCTCATGTTCACCCAGGAGACTCCTAATTATTGTCCTTTTCTGTGGTGGTGCCATGAGCCTGGTGATTCCTGATTTGCACTTGGATTCTTGTGCAACTGGAGGGTTCCATGAGCTGCACTTCTCTAAGCTTTCAGAATTTCTGTTTCCCTCCCTGGTCCTGGAAGAATTTAGAAAACAAACCCTCTGAAACGATGACTGGGGGGAGGTGAGGACAGAGCAGTAACTTCTTATTTTTGAAAGCTCACAATAGGGACTGTGCCCTGTGAATTTTGAGCATGAGGGGCTCAGCACACACAACTTACGCAGTTATCTGTCTGTCTGTGTGCTGAGAGTGACCCACTGCTGCCCACACATCACTGGTACCTTTTGAATGCTCAGTGCCACACACAGTAGGTGAGTCTGTTGCTGCCTTTGTTTTGGGAGGTTGATCCACTAATTCACATTAAAGAGTGTGTGCTTTTAGTCTGGGAGGTTCCTCCTTCGGTTTCTGCCCTGCCAGTCATAAAGGCAGCTGTGTTATGTGTGGTTAACTGAGCTCCAGCAAGAACATGCAGACCTTGGCAGATGCAGTCTGAATCACCAGGGCTGTGCCAAAGCCACCAGAGCCCAGCTTGCTTTGTGTAGGAAACCTGAGCACACCAACCCAAGGAAGTGGATGATCAAAACCTTTTGTCAACAGTTGGAGTTTCAGCAGGGGAAAAAAAAAAAAAAGGGATGACAATTTCCTGTTTTTAAGCATTTCTAGAAATGCATAGTTCGGTAAAGCACCAGTCCTACACTTCCCACAAAATAAACAAAAAGTGTAAAGTAATGCATTTTTCCCCCCCACCACGAACACCCATAACTCTGGCCTGCAGTGGCTGCCCCTCCTTCAGCAGTGACCTCAAAACACAAACACACACCAACCCCGTGAAAGGAGATGTCCCTGCAGAAACGCTGCACATCCCTTTGGCTGAGCTCGGGCCAGCAAGTGCACCAACCGCAGCTGGAGGTGTTTCCACCAGCACTGAGGTGACAGAGCAGCACCTTCCCCGTTTGCAGAAGTGAACCTGAACTGCTGGTCCCACCCAGGAGGCAAAAAAGCCAAGCCAAGCCAAGCCACCCCTGCTTTGCATAGGGGTTGGTGGCCCCCGGGGGCTCTGATTCAACCTGCGATCCTGGCAGATGGTGATCTCAGACACTGGGCAGCTGCGGGCCCCGCAGGTGCTCACCAGCTCAAAGGAGAACCCGAGAGGAGTCGCTGGTTTAGTCACCGCTCTGAAGGGCCTGTTTTGTCTCTCCCCAGGAGGCCCTGTCGGTGGTGAGCGACGACCAGTCCCTGTTCGACTCCTCGTACGGCGCTGCCCCCCAGCTCCCCAAGGCAGACATGACGGCCTCAGGGAACCCCGACTACGGCCAACCCCACAAAATCAACCCCCTGCCCCCCCAGCAGGAGTGGATCAACCAGCCCGTCAGGGTCAGTGTCAAAAGGGAGTATGACCACATGAACGGATCCAGGTAAGAGCCTCCCCACACCTGCTGTTGTTGTTGGTTGCAGAATCACACAGTGCCCTGGGTTGGAAGGGACCCCCAGGGACCACCAGCCCGACTTCTGAGTCCAAACCCCATGGAATCCAAAGGGAAGCACAGCATGTACCGCCCGTTCCTGCTCTTGTCCTGCACATCAACCATCCCCCTCTCCGTGTAGGACCTGTGTAGGGCCATACCCCTCTCTCTCCCTGCAGTTCCCTCCTTTGGGAGTCGTTTTTTCATGGCCTGAGCATCTCGTTCTTGCAGTTCTGCAGGACAGATCCCCCCCAGTGCCCACGAAGGCTGCACAGAACAGGGCAGGGCAGTGCCAGGGCAGAGCTCCCGAACTGCACATTCCATCCCCCAGTCTGGCATCCCACAGATGTGCCGTGGTCCGAGGGGCTCACAAAGATGGTCAGACCACAACAGCTGGGGTTTATATCAGTGCTCCAGGGTGAAGCAGTGAAAGATGCACTTCTGGACTGTAAGGGCCCCTTTTCACTGCATCTGAACTGTATCCCTGCTCCACCAGGGCAGAAACAACCCTGTGAAGCTGGAGAGATGTATGATGGAGAAGGGAAAAAGAGGAGATGAGGTCCTTTAGGGCAGTTTAGGAGGTGCAGCAACACAAAAGTCCTGTTCCCACGTCTTCCATGTGGGTATCGGTGACCACTGGTGACACAGAGTTCAGGAGAGGTTGGAGCAGCATTTCAACCACCTGGTTGTGGTGAAACAAATCCCACCCTCTTGCATTTAATTTTTAGGTGTAAAAATTTCATTTTTTTTTCTCAGCTTTAAATATATGCAATACAGATAAACTTTAATTTTTTTTAGCATAGGGTTTTGGAGTTCAGATTAATTTTAAAATTTTATTTTGATTTCAAAAAGCCACGAACACCCCTAGAGTAGAGTGTTAATAAACTCTTAAGGGTTTTTCTGCTCTAGGGCTACCTTAGCAGCATATTTTCTTAGTTTCTGAGAACAGAGTTGGAAACAGAAAGCAGCCTTGCACTTTCAGACTTCTGCAGTGAGATGATGGTGTTAAAGACATCAAACAGCAGCCTGTTTTTGTTTCCTAGTAAGAGTAGAGTAGATGCTGATTTTGCTCTCAGATAAAGGACTCTGCAGCAGTTGCTCTCTTGAGGTGATTATTTGCAGGCTGAACTCGACCTTGCCCTGGTTGTACCTCGGTGTCATTTCTCAGCTTCATAAAAACTACGTGGATTTTTGCACCGGTGCTTCCAACCTCAGAACTGAGGCTGCAAGGTGGGGAAACGAGTTCTTCCCTCAAAGACACCACCCCTGGATAACACAGAGAAAAGGAGGGATCCTGAAAGCACCAGCTGGGGTTTGTTGCTGGTCATGGGGACACCTTTGGGTGGTTTTCTGAGGAGGAGGAAGCCCTTTGTAGCATTGCCAGGCTGCCCACAGCTGGATGGGACTCTGAGCAACCTGGGCTAGAGGAAGATGTCCCTGCTCATGGCAGGGGTGGGATGAGATGGGCTTTAAGGTCCCTTCCAACCCAAACCATCCTGGAATTCTCTGACTGCGTCCGCTGCTCACACCCACAGTGTCATGTGGCATTCCGTACCTTGGAATGAAACGTCCAGGGCTGTCCTTGCCTTGTGATCCTTCTGTGCCAACGTCCCCATCTGCTCAGGGAAAAGGGAAATAATCTGCTTGGACAAAGGGATTCACTGACAGCTGTAAGAGCCCTGGGAGCCACAGAGAAAGGCCCTCCAGCAGCGAGTTGGTTCTGGGCAAAAAGGAAATCCTTCCTTTCGGGCTTGCTGGAGACTACAAGGTCCTTGGGCAGCAAATAAGTGTCCTCAGTGTCTCTAAAGGAGGAGTGAGAACTTCCCAACCTGTCAGTAAAAAAAGAAAAGGCTGTTTTGCATGTCAGGACCAAGCACTGCAGGAGCTTCCAACCTTACCTTTTGACAACTCATAAGCACAAGAGCTCCAACCCACCCATGAGAACATTCCCTTGGCTTCTCCAGCCTCTCCTCCTATTCAGGGCTAAAAATATAAAATCCTTTCCTCTCGTGTCCATCACAGTCCATGGGGTTGGGCTGGGCCGCTCCTCTGGCAAAACCACCACGTGGATGAGTGACAAACACCAATCCCAACACAAATTCACTCCAGCTGCAGGTGGATCCCAGCTCCTGTCCCCCTCCCTCTGTCCCTGCCCATCCTGCTCTCTCTTTTTTCTCAAGGACACACTGCCACTGAGTTCCAGCTGCCTCTGGCAGGAGCAGCCTCTCTTCTGCCTCTATTCTGTCTTTATTCTGCCTTTATTCTGCCTTTCACCTGTGCTGTGTGGAGGGGGTGGTTTGTGTCCTCAGGGATAAAGCTCCAGGGGAGGAGCTGGTGACTGCAGGGGTCAGTGCCCAGCTTTTCTCCTCTTTCTGGGAGTCCAGCAGCAGGTCTGAGGGTGTGATGAGCTGGGCTGATCCTCAGCAGGGTGGCAGAAAGGGTCTTTGAGGAACCTCTCCAAGCTTGTTTAGCAAAGCCCTCAAAGTCCTCCAAGCAACCCCAACCACCTCTGTACCCCACGTCAGATTTTCCTGGTTTACTCCCAGATTGGAAAGAATCTCCCAGATAACTCTATTCTGTGTGCAGGGCACACCCAGGCTGGGATCTGTGTTTTAGGGGAGCAGAGGGGACTTCTGTATAACTGCAAGATTTAGACAGAAGTTTTGTGACCATTTCCAGGATAATCAGACCCAGATGCAGGTGATGGCTTCAAAATCTGCCCTTGCCTTAACAGACAGCAGCTTGCTCAGAGTAAAACCCAGGGCTACGTTTAATTGTATTTTAAAAATCTCCCCAAAATAAATAAACAAAAAATCTTTCACGTCTTAAATTCCAGTGAATGAAGGAGAAGGATTATTTAGGAAAATGCTGGGTGAAGTTCAACCCAATTTACAGTCCATGTTTATAACAGGGGTTTTTTGCTTATATTTTATGTAAATTCCAAATGCAAAGAGTGAACCAAGCAAGAGAAATTCCAAATCCTGACTGTAATTACTGAGTTACTACAGATCTCTGTTTGGAGCTAAACTCAGGGAGTGATTTTTAAAAAGAGGTCACAAAATTTGTCCGATCTTCAAATGTGAAAGAATGTTCCAACGTGCTGATGTGGGCAGGGATGTGGGAAAACTTCACTGGGCAATTCCAGGATTTTGTCCAGCTAAAACAATGAAGTCAGTGCTTTGCAAAGGCTTTGGAGACATCCTTTAGAGACATCCCAGAGAAGCTGGGGCTGCCCCTGGATCCCTGGAAGTGTCCAAGGCCAGGTTGGACGGGGCTTGGAGCAACCTGGGCTGGTGGAAGGTGTCCCTGCCCATGGCAGGGGATGGCACTGGGTGGGTTTGAAGGTCTCTCCCAACCCAAACCATCCTGGGATTCTGTGATTTTACACTTTTCTTGCTCTAGAACATTCCAATATGTTCTGAAGGTCCCCTCAGAGGGGTTTTGTCTCAAACAGAGCAGAGGGCCATCCGTGGTGTCGATAGGAATCAACTCCCCTTGGAGCAGCATGTGAGCCCTCTAGTGGGATCCGGGGGTGCTTCTGATGCAGCCGAGCATCCCCCTCGTGTTTGCATGCACCTGGCTGGGATAAACAAGCCCAGTTTTCCATCCTTTCTGCAGCCTCACCGTGCCTTTCAGTGTGAGCCCCCTCTCAAGGCCTTCCTGGGAGCAGGTTGAATGCAGGTGGATGCAAGTTACAAGGAGCTGACTCTGTTCCCAGCCTGTCAGAGGGAACCACGAGCAGAATCCCAGGATGTCTGTGCTTCCTTCCTTCACTGCACGTCAGAAAACAAACTGAAATCTAATTTCAAGTGTAACTATGGAAGCTGAGATGACCAAATGGGGCTTTACACAAAAAAGTGGCAAATTCAAAAGGAAAAAAGAAAGTGGGAAGAATGGAGGAATGACAGGATAGGAAGAGAGGGATAGAAAGGAGGAAATATCCCCCTGATCACAGCTGAGTCAGCTTCAGAAACTCCTGAAATCCCTTATTTTGTTCTTTGGAATGGAAGCCAAAGGTGATTCCTAGACAGAGCCCTGGGACAGTGATTGTTTTGTTTCCAGGTGCCTGGAGCCTGGGCTGAAGCTGTACAGAGGGTTTATTAGTCAGTGCCAGGAGAGCTGCCTGTCCAAAACTTTCCCAAACACCACGCTCTTGGCATCCCTAGACACTGCCACTGGAGCTGCTGGCACGAGGAATCTTTGGACAGACAGTGGGAGTGGGTTCTGCTTCACGTTCTTGCACTCTGTCACTGCCCCAGAGGTGTTGTGAAAGCAGCCTGTACCCCCTCACCTGTGGAGATCTACATTTTCTGCCCAGAGCCTGAGCACATGTTTTCAAATAATGAGGAAATCTTTATCTAAACCTGAGCCTGCCTGTGGGCAGTGCCTGGGCTAAGGGAGGGGGGATATTCCAGGGATATACCAGTCAGGGCTCACATTCCTTCCACCAGCCCAGGTTGCTCCAGGCCCCGTCCAACCTGGCCTTGGACATTTCCAGGGATCCAGGGGCAGCCACAGCTTCTCTGGGCAACCTGTGCCAGGGCCTGCCCACCCTCACAAGGAGAAATTCCTTCCAATATCCCATCTCTCCCTGCCCTCTGGCAGTGGGAAGCCATTCCCTGTGTCCTGTCCCTCCATGCCTTGTCCCCAGTCCCTCTCCAGCTCTCCTGGAGCCCCTTTAGGCCCTGCAAGGGGCTCTCAGGTCTCCCTGGAGCCTTCTCTTCTCCAGCTGAACCCCCCAGCTCTCCCAGCCTGGCTCCAGAGCAGAGGGGCTCCAGCCCTGGGATTTTCTCCATTATCTCCACATCCTACTGATGCTGAGTTGGACACAGTACCTCAGGTGGGGTCTGTGGTGGGGCACTGTCCTCTAGGTCTGTGTGAGCATTATCCATGTTATTATTCCATCATAAACAGTGTGTGTCTCAGCTGCAGGGCTCATTTTTCCCAGATGACTTTAACTCCAGAGCAGGGGTGGGTGAGGGTGACCACTGCAGAAGGACCTGAGGCAGCAGGGAGCCCCTGGGACGTGCTGAATGCAGGGAACTGTGGTGCCTGAGGGAGGGGGAATCCATCCCAAAGGCATGTGGGAACCCACACGTGGGGCTGTGTGTCCAGCTCTGCCCACACCACCCAAACAAGCAGGGCAGGAGGAGGTTGTTCCCCCTCCCAGGGCCAGAGTGACACCCTGGAAGGTGGATGCTCTTCCCAGGACAGGCAGTCCCTCAGCAGAGAATCAGATCCTTTGTGCTGCCCTGGGGGCTTTTTCTCTGCCAGCACAGGCGGCGTTTAACACCTGACACAGAGCATTTCAGCAGAGGCCCAGCCATGAGCACGTTCCCCGTGAAAACCTCGTGGCCCTGCAGTTGCTCAGCCTCTCCTCTCTGCCACGGGGACATTAAACCTTCAGCAGTTCCCTCTCCGAAGGCGGATTTTTGGTTCCCTGCCTGGAAAAACAGTAGGCGAAATAGTAAAACCTTAAATTCGAACATGTGTAACTTATACATCTTATTTCCATTTTCGAGCAACGTTCTCTTAGTAAAAGACATGAGGAAAAAATTACCATCTGCCTCAGAATATCTCGGTGGAGCATTTATCTCCCAGCCACGATAACTGGAGCTCGGTAATTTCTCCCTCTCCCCACCCCAGTTCAGGTTGAGAGACAAATTTGTTTAGTGTCCTAACTTGGAAGCCTTGCCAGCTGAGCTCACAGGGTGGGATTTGCTGCACTGTCGTGGTTCTTACCCTGCAGCAAAAACCTTTCCTCCCAAACCACTTGGCTTGTGGCAGAGAAGGAGGATGGATGGCTCTGGGATTAAGCCCTGGATGTGAGCTCTGGGCTTGCCTTGTGTAGAGCTTGGGCACCCTTGGGAAGGGGAGGGCAACGATGTGCCCTTCCCTAGGAGGTTCCTCAGAGCTGGGGTGTGCTCTGTGTGTGGGGCAGGCTGAGGGCTGGTGCTTGAGGTGACTAAAAGTGTCGTGAGTCCCTGTTACAGCTGAATAAAAACACAATCCCTGCTCTCCATCGGTGGTTGGGGGCTCACAGTTCCCCCAGAGCAGGGCAGAGACTTGCCAAGGCTCTGCAGGTTGGCCAGGGCTCAGCTCAGAGCCACCTGAGCTGCTGAGTGTTCCTCCTCAGCACTCCAGCACCTCCACATTTAACTGGGGCTGGAGCCTTTTTCACACACCACTGCTGTGGTCTGGAGTTCTTGAGCCGTGCCAAAGGCAGCCAAGGCTTCCAGATTTCCTCTCCCAGAATGGGGCACTGTTAAGCACAGAATCCCAGAATCCCAGAGTCATAGAATCACAGAATCCCAGAGTCACAGAGTCACAGAATCTCCTGATTTGGAAGGGATCCATCAGGATCATCGACTCCAATTCCTGACCCTGCACAGAACACCCCAACAACCCCCCATGTGCCTGGGAGCCTTGTCCAAACACTCCCTGAGCTCAGACTAAGAACAGACAAGGTCAGTTGTGTTCCACCCTCTGTAAATGAGACTCTTTCTGATAATACTGAGTATTCTCCTGTGACTGTCCTGTCACTTTGGTGGGTATCTTGAGTTCCATGTTAATGACATGCAGGGGGTGTTCCTGTGTCCATGAAGAGCTCTGCAGGAATGCCTTAGGACATGAGGTGGGCAGTGTCTGTCAGTGGGCAGTGTCTGTCAGTGGGCAGGCTCCACTGAACAGGAAGGTTGTTTTAACACAATGAAACAGCCCAAAGGGGCTCCAGCTGGATCTTCAAGGTTGCTTAAATGCACTGAGTAACAAAGGATGGAGGGGAGTGGAGTAGTGACCAACAGGCCCATGTGATAGGCACGTGCTCTTTATCTGCTTTGGGAATTTTGGCATTCCAGAGGCATTGCGTACGACCTGCAAGCGACCACTGCCTTGTCTGGAAGTCATTCCTCTTGGATTCTCCAGCTCTCTCTCCTCCAACTGGTTTCATTATCAGAGATCCCCCAGTGAGACTTGTGGTTCGTAGATCACCCTATAGACCCACATGGCAGGTCAGGAGTGGCCTCTCCCACATGGAAAGAAACTCCTGTTAAGGTTCCACCTCCGGGATCATTGCCGTGTCTGCAACCCAAACCTCCTGTGGGGCTGGAAGGGCACAGTGATGGTAACTCAGCTCTTTCCTTTCCCCTTTCAGGGAGTCCCCCGTGGACTGCAGTGTGAACAAATGTGGCAAACTCGTGGGAGCAGGGACAGAGTCCAACCCCATGAGCTACAGCACCTACATGGACGAGAAGAACGGGCCTCCCCCCAACATGACCACCAACGAGAGGAGAGTCATCGTCCCAGCAGGTACCACCAAACCCACAGGGTCCTGTCTGCTTGCCCTGAAGCAGGATAACAAGCAGATAATTAGTGCTTCTCCTTTTTTTTTTTTTTTTCCCCTGGAATGAAGAGTTGTTTTGGTGTGTTGAACCAAATCCATCCCCCGTCATGTGTTGGAGGAGAATCTGCTTCCTGGGACACACAGGGGATGATCAAAGGCAAGAATAAGCATGAAGGCCCAAATTATAACTCCCATGATGCTCCCAGGATCCAGATGCACTTTCATGTCATATTGATTGATTCAAAATGAGCTATTTTGTTTTCATTTTTTTTTTTTTCTGTTAGAAGTAGAAACCCGGAAAAATCGTATTTCGCAGGAACTACATTACCCTTCCAAAAACTGTTACACAGAAACATTCCTGTCCAGCTCTGTTTGTATTTGAGAGCCACATCTGCTCTCTGGGGCTGGCAGGATGCAATGGATGCATTTGGACAGTCAGGGCTGAGCTGCTGTGGAGGCAACCGGTGAAGGCTGACCCCGGAATGAGGAGCCTTTTCCCTGCAAAGTTTATAAACACCATCCACATAAACAGGCCAGGAGCTCTCCAACCAAGGAGCCAATTTCTGTCCCAGGATTTGCCCTGATTTGGAGGGTTTCACCCAGGGCAGGGAGGGCTGCACTGGGGTTGTTACCCAGCCCAGCAGACAAACTGCTGGCAGGAAGGAATGTGCTGGTGGAATTCAGCTCTGCTTTCTGATCGTGGCTTCACCACGAACAGATGGCAATCCCCGAGCATTTGTTAGCCATTTAGGATGAAAAGGGAAAGCCAGTGAATGATGACTGACAGCAAATCTGCAAGCACCATTTAAGCTGTTGTTGAGACCTGCTCTGAGGGACTGGCTGAGCTGTTTGGTGACAGCCCCAGGATGTGTCAGCACTGCCCAGCAGGGTGGGAGCAGGTACCAACCAGTCACTGTGTAATTAAAGGTGTTCAGCACCCATCCTGCTCCTCACCACCCATCCTGCTCCTCACCACCCTGTTTATCCGTGTTTAAAAACACCAAGGGTGAGCTAAAGCGTAGCATCGTTGAAATAGGGGAAATTTTAGTGCCCTCAGGGGAAGAAAAGGTTTCCAATCTTCTCTTTGAAGGAAAGTCAAGAAAAGGACTTTTTCTCCCCATCGTGAGCATCCACAACTCAAAGCCTTGAGAAACTTGTGAAATAGCAGTGAGTTACCAGACTTTGGAAGACAATGATGAACATCATCCCAGACCTCAGGATATGAGAAGACTCATCCAAGAAAGGCATTTGGAAATTTTAATATAATCCAGAATTGAGATTTATAGTGCATTAGGGTGAAGATAAGCAAGAATAATGTCACATTAGGCTTACAATAGTAGTAATAACAAACTCCAAGCCGTGTTTCAAGAAGGCAGTTTTTCAGAGACCATTCAGTGTCTTTTACAGTGTTTAAAGGGAGGCCACAAATTCACTTTGCCCTCTAGACATTGAGTGTTTTTGCAAAAAAATCAAGACAAATAAGTCTTTCAATTAAGAAAAAAAAAAAAAAAAGAACCCTCCCTTGAATACTTGCATTGTAAAATTTGCAGCCTTTTGCCAGTGCTTAGAAAGCAGAATTTAAATTAACTATTGCCAAGACACGAAGGAAATCCATGTGTTGTTCCCAAAGCAGACTTGCAAAGGTAGTATATTGAAAATTCCATGTTTAGAATTCAGCTTTAAGCAACCCAGGTTTACTGGAGGCTCAGTGGGGAAATGTCACAGTTATCATTTCAGCATTCCCTGGTCTCATGTCTCCATTTCATGCTGTTGCTCTGTAACTCGGGTGCAAAGGAATGCACCAGGTATAGGCACTACCTGAGCACACACAATTTACAGCCCTGGCCCAGGGAATTATTTGATTTCTTTCCTAAATCTGTGGCAGAGGCATTTCTTGTCCCTGCCCTGAGCACACCCTGCAGCCCTGTGCTCCTGTATCCTTCCGATCCATGTTCTCAGCTCCTCAGGACCTGAGGTGTTTGAGGCTTGTCTTGGGGCTGTTAATGACACACCAAACATCTCCAAAGTTCCAGCTTCACTTTGCAATCCTCTCCAGCTGCAGCAGGACACGAATTTGCAGCTGAAGTTTCGAAAGGGGCTGCGTGGGGAGCAGCAGCACAGGAAACATCTGAACAGGCAGATATGCTCTGCAGTGACTCTGTGAAATGGTATCGTGGCAGCAAGCCTTGCTGAGGCTTTCTGAGCTAAGGCTCTTTTTGAAACTCAAAGGCTGATTTCTTTATTTAACTCCCTCCCCATGGGCTCTGGGTCTCCAGCCGGGTTCAATCTCTCTCCTACGTCACCAGCAGCAATAAAGATTCCCCAGCTGGGGCTCTGCTGACAGTCCCTAATGATGCAGGAGACAGGATAAAATCCACATTGCCCTCCAAGAGCTGCAGGCTTTTACAGGAGGTGGAACTGTGTTCCTGTCAGCAGGGTGAATGGCTGTGACTCACAGCCATGGCAGCCTGCTCTGCTTGAGCAATAAGAGGGTTTTTTCAGAGTCCCTTTGCTGACCATAAATACCCCCATCCTCACCTCAAATGTCAGCTGTGGGCACCTCATGGTGCACTTGGGAGGGGTGGTGGGACTTCCAGAGCCCTGATGTCACCACAGAGCCACTGCTGGGACAGGCATCCCCTCTCAAAGGGATGAGTTGCCTTTGGGAAGCTTTTTTCCAGGAGAAAAGTCCCAGTCCAACATCACCAGCATTGTTCCCAAGCAGAGGAATAAGATGTGGGAGGGTGGGAGACAGTGAAGTGACCCTGCCAGTGTATCCACCTCACAGGGCTTGTTCATCGCCCAAAACGCATTGGAATCAGTAAATTAAATATATTGGCTTGTGGGAACAGTGGTTAAAGCTTTGATTGGGGCACAGTGAGTGCTGGAGGCTCGTGTGTGACCCCCCCTTGTGCTCCCCTGGCAGATCCCACCCTCTGGACCCAGGACCACGTGCGCCAGTGGCTGGAATGGGCTATCAAGGAGTACGGGCTGATGGAGATCGACACCACCATCTTCCAGAACATGGATGGCAAAGAGCTCTGCAAGATGAACAAGGATGACTTCCTCAGAACCACCTCCCTCTACAACACAGAAGTTCTGCTGTCTCACCTCAGTTACCTCAGGGAAAGTGAGTATTGCCCTGGCTCAGCCCTGTGCTGATGAGCTGAAGTGGGTATTGGACTTGTAGGGATCTTCCTGCAGGATGAGGAGTAGGGAAGGTGAGGGAAAATGAAGAAAGAAACGCAGGCAGGGACAGCAAACATGGAAGCAAGGAATAAAAAGGGGGTGGGAAAGCTAAAATTAACTCAGATGGAGTTGCTGGTGCTACCAGGGAGGTGAAGAACT